TCAATCCAAGCTTACTGTAGTGAATAGTGAAAGCGTGATTGCAAATCACGTTTTCTTAGGAGAACAAAATGCACAGTGAAAGTGTGATTTGGAACCATGTTTTCTTCAAAAAACAAAATATGCACAGTGAGCAAATCACGTTTTCTTAAAATGCACAGTGAAAGCGTGGTTTAGAACCATGTTTTGTTCAGAAAACAAATATGCACAGTGAAAGCGTGGTTTGAAACCACGTTTTCTTCAGAAAAGAAATTTATGTTAAAAGCGTTGTTTGTAATAGCGCTTTCACTATTCATCAAATTTTAAGCTCTAAATAGTGATAGTGTGATTTGTAATAACGCTTTAATCTAATTTAAGAATTCCGTCCAAATTAGGCCTAATTTAAAAATTAAGATAGTAAATTGGCTTAACATGGAAAAGCCTAAAGAAAAGCTATTGTCGTCACCAAAAAGTAGGGGTATACACGGTCCGGATTGGTTCGGTTCTGAGAAAATCCAAGAACCGAACCGATTCTAACGGCTCTGTAATTTTGAGAACCAGACCAAACCGTTACACTTGTAAAACCGGACCAGAACCAAACCGAAAAAACGGTTCGGTTTCGGTTTGGTTTAGGGTCCCAAAAATTTCTATTTACATGAATAAATTATTAATATTAACAAAATAATTACTCAAACTAAATACATTGAACTTATGATAAAAACTAATAATACTACGGCATTATTTAATATTACATATCTATACCATCTTAATATCATTAAAATTATAACAAATCAATTAATAAAAATAAAACTTGATATTATATATATATATCTTTTAAAATTCGGTTCGGTTCGGTTCGGTTCGAACCGCGATTTTTTCATAAAATTCATTAACCGAATCATTTTTACGATTTTCATATTTCTTAATCCGAAACCGAACCAATTCTTAATAGAATCGAACCAAATCATACGATTCAATTTAATTCGATCCAAATTATCGATTTGAACAAATTTTTGAACAGCCTACCAAAAAGCACGCTTTACACCACGGTTGAAATTGACGCCCGGCGTGTTGCTGGGTCATTGTCTTAAGTCAGCACTCCCTCCATCTACTACAACAACGCACGCTCCTTCTTTCTCTCCTACTCTCTCTCTCTCTCTCTCTCTCTCTCTCATTCGCTGCCGTTGGGATCACATAAGTCCAAACACTCCTTTGATGGACTCACTCTCGCCGGCGATCGCCCCCAAAATCGTTCTTCCGGCGAGAAATTCTTACCAATTCCTCGGCCCGGTTCTTCCGAGTTTGAGGCCAAGCTTCAGCCGACTTTGCAAGAAGATTTGCGTCCATGCGGAGAACACGACCCCTACGCCGATCGCTCCCGCGATTGACTTCAGCGATCCTCATTGGAAGTCCAAGTTCCAGAACGACTTCGAGGCTCGATTCAACATTCCTCACCTCACTGACATTTTCCGTGACACTCTCCCCATTCCCTCCACTTTTTGCCTCAAGATGAGGTATCTTAAATCTAATTTTTTTTACTATAAGATCCACATGTTTGTTGATTTTAAAATTTTTGGATAAATATTTGGAATTTGGACTTATATATTTGGTCTGAAATTGAAATTTCTGATTGATCGCCTTTTATGTTAATAAATTTGTGCTGAGTTGTGTCAGTTGGAATTATAATTTTCCCCACAAATACTTGTTACCCTTCATTTATGTAGAGCTTGTTACCCTCCATTTATGAGTTGTGTCAGTCAATTAGAACTTTCTTAATTGATCTGTAGCTACCTTGCAACTACATTTTTTTTTTCTTTCTTTTTCTTTTTTCCCCACTACATGACATTATCAGCATACCTCCGCGTGCCAACCCCAGTGTCACCACGATGTCTGCATAGGATCAATTGGGTTTTGTATGCCTAGCCCAAGTAGGGCCATGCACACCATCAAGTATGGATGCTAACTCACTGGTGCAGTTGCCGCTCTAGTAGGCAAGAGCTCTAAAGTGATTGAGTCAAAGTATGTAAAGCCTAATGCCAGAGCCTTCGCTCACTATGATTCTTCATACCTTGTTCTCATAGGGAACACTCTGCACTGAGTACCCCACCTCATCTTCAAAATAACCTAGCCTGTCGCTCACTTATGTTTCCCCTATGCACTCACTCTCTAAGTGAGGATGACTCCGCTCACTAATATTACAGCCATCACTTGGCAGCCTAGACTAGGATCAGAGCCTAGATAGGAGGAGGGCCTAGATGTCCACTACTTGGGATCATCGGCGGATTGCAGATTGGAAGTTAGGATCACAGGTTTGTCAAGGTTGCTTGGCTGTCTCCCTTTGGAAGATACTCCACCTTGACTAGTCTTAGAGAGAGCGGATGTTGATCTTACACTCACACCTGCTGCTTGCCATCATACACTAAGAGATATCATACCCATCCTACAACTGCTATGATACAATCTTCCCAAGGTCTGAACATAGAATACACCAGTAGGGTCAATATCACCAACTTGTCTAGCTAAGGAGAACTAGCCACCTATGATACAACCTTCCCAAGGTCTGAACATAGGATGCAACAGTGGGGTTAACATCACCAACTTGTTCAGCTAATAACTCGCCACTTGTCCTAAGTAGCTTGGCTCCAATACTCTTGGAATCAATATAAGGGTGTCATGCATGTAGTGACAACACACCAGCACCATCACAACATCATCATAACCAAGATACAAGTATTTGCATGTCTTGCTGACAACAATGTAAGTGTTCAAGGTCTCTTATTGCCACCCTCTCTCACAACAATCCAAGTGCTTAAGGTCTCTCATTGCCACCCTCTCTATCTCTAAGACTACCTTTGTCTTCTCCTCAGCTCCCTTTAGTAATCTGCAGACATTGAAAGTACCCGCTAGAGGTCCACAACCAACCACCTCTAACAGTCCTTGCCCACACAAGGCAAATAGAAGTTTGATTGATCTATAGCTATATGCATTTGACAAAATTGCTTTCTCGATCTCTCTCTCTCAATTATTTTTATATCTTATATATATATATATATCTTTTTATTTATTTGCTTATTTTTCTTTCTGTTGTAGGACTCCCACAGAAGACTTTGCTGATGGGTATCCATCTGATGAGAAGTGGCATGGGTACATTAATAACAATGACAGAGTACTTCTGAAGGTATGGTATACTAATTTCCTGCTAATTTTCAGTGACATCATGTTTTTAGACTTAACCAGTAGTTCAATATAGAATGTAAGAGCGTAGATTATTATTTGGTATGGTAGGAGATGGGCCAACTATGTATATTAAGCTATGTAACTCTCTCATTAAGATGTGATCCCATTTTATACATGAAGATGCGAACAGGATTTATAGAACAAGGTGCACAAACACACTAAACAAAATGCACAATATTAGATACAATGGGAATACGAAGACAATTTATGAGACTTGAATCGGTGACCTATTGGAATCATAAAATTGATACCATGTTAGATCACCAAATGTTGGGAAATGGACCCAATTGCGTATATCAAACTATTTAATAATTATCAGCTTGCAATTCAAAGTAATTCTACCTTAGAAATTTGGTGTTTTATTCACAAAATGCGAGGCTCCACCCGCTTTTCAACTTGGTGTTTTGTTATGCTTGATTAGACCAAAGCTTTGACATGAGGTGGACCACCAATCATTTGGACACATCTGTACTTCGAGCCTTCTAATATAATATCATTGTATGAGGGAGAGAACCCTAAGTTACTAGAATTGTCATGCCCCGATTTTCAAAGATCAATTAGGCGGAAACTAATTAATCTAAGCGTGGGATTTTTAAGTAAAAACTCTCTTTATTACTTTGTTCATTCTCGAAATCACTTTCCCCAGCCAAGTCTCATTAAGTTCTCAAAATTAGATTTTGTCTCGTAAAAAGTGCCTCATGGCCTTAGATTAAATGACATTGAAAAACGTGTCTGTTTTCTCTTTATCGAGCCTAACTTACCTCTAAGTGACAAAACAAAGTGTTTTTGATAAATTTTGGCTTACATTGGAAAGTGTGTTATTTGATAGTTTTTTAAATAAATCACCTTTTAAGTTTAAAAACTCTAGTGTTCTCTCACATACTAAATACATCCTCACTTGGCACATAAACCAATAAAATGAAGTACATCATCCAATAATGGAAATAAATGTTATAGACCTGAAATTAATTGATACAATAATTCGATAAAAAGATGTAAAGACATGCAGACCCAATTAACCGAGGGTCTAAACTTAACAAAACAAACTACGTCCTGACACTCACGGTGACGGATGTCCATCAGTACCTATACAATGCATGGGGTTGAGTATAGACACTCACCAGACAGTAATCTCATTTCTTACTAAGTAAACATGTTAGTGTCGTGATAAGTAAAATTATGCAATGAAATGCCCAGTTTTCGAATTAATTTACTCTTATTAAGTTCATCTGATTTAATTAGCTCACACTAGAATAAGCAAATAAAAGAAATAATTCAAAATTAATAATTGCTAACAAGGCGCCAATAACTTGCCAACAAGCCTAATCTCGCCAACAGATACCGTATCCAAACCTCATTAAAATTATAAAAAATCAATTAATAAAAATAAAACTTGATATTATATATATATATATATCTTTTAAAATTCGGTTCGGTTCGATTCGGTTCGAACCGTGATTTTTTCATAAAATTCATTAACCGAATCGTTTTTACGGTTCTCATATTTCTTAATTCGAAACCGAACCAATTCTTAATAGAACCGAACCAAATCATCCGATTCAATTTAGTTCGATCCAAATTACCAATTTGAACAGATTTTTGAACAGCCGTACCAAAAAGCACGCTTTACACCACTGTTGAAATTGACGCCCGGCGTGTTGCTGGGTCATTGTCTTAAGTCAGCACTCCCTCCATCTACTACAACAACGCACGCTCCTTCTTTCTCTCCTACTCTCTCTCTCTCTCTCTCTCTCTCTCTCATTCGCTGCCGTTGGGATCACATAAGTCCAAACACTCCTTTGATGGACTCACTCTCGCCGGCGATCGCCTCCAAAATCGTTCTTCCGGCGAGAAATTCTTACCAATTCCTCGGCCCGGTTCTTCCGAGTTTGAGGCCAAGCTTCAGCCGACTTTGCAAGAAGATTTGCGTCCATGCGGAGAACACGACCCCTACGCCGATCGCTCCCGCGATTGACTTCAGCGATCCTCATTGGAAGTCCAAGTTCCAGGACGACTTCGAGGCTCGATTCAACATTTCTCACCTCACTGACATTTTCCGTGACGCTCTCCCCATTCCCTCCACTTTTTGCCTCAAGATGAGAACTCCCACAGAAGACTTTGCTGATGGGTATCCATCTGATGAGAAGTGGCATGGGTACATTAATAACAATGACAGAGTACTTCTGAAGGTATGGTATACTAATTTCCTGCTAATTTTCAGTGACATCATGTTTTTAGACTTAACCAGTAGTTCAATATAGAATGTAAGAGCGTAGATTATTATTTGGTATGGTAGGAGATGGGCCAACTATGTATATTAAGCTATGTAACTCTCTCATTAAGATGTGATCCCATTTTATACATGAAGATGCGAACAGGATTTATAGAACAAGGTGCACAAACACACTAAACAAAATGCACAATATTAGATACAATGGGAATACGAAGACAATTTATGAGACTTGAATCGGTGACCTATTGGAATCATAAAATTGATACCATGTTAGATCACCAAATGTTGGGAAATGGACCCAATTGCGTATATCAAACTATTTAATAATTATCAGCTTGCAATTCAAAGTAATTCTACCTTAGAAATTTGGTGTTTTATTCACAAAATGCGAGGCTCCACCCGCTTTTCAACTTGGTGTTTTGTTATGCTTGATTAGACCAAAGCTTTGACATGTAGTGGACCACCAATCATTTGGACACATCTGTACTTCGAGCCTTCTAATATAATATCATTGTATGAGGGAGAGAACCCAAAGTTACTAGAATTGTCATGCCCCGATTTTCAAAGATCAATTAGGCGGAAACTAATTAATCTAAGCGTGGGATTTTTAAGTAAAAACTCTCTTTATTACTTTGTTCATTCTCGAAATCACTTTCCCCAGCCAAGTCTCATTAAGTTCTCAGAAATAGATTTGTCTCGTAAAAAGTGCCTCATGGCCTTAGATTAAATGAAATTGAAAAATGTGTCTATTTTCTCTTTATCGAGCCTAACTCACCTCTAAGTGACAAAACAAAGTGTTTTTGATAAATTTTGGCTTGCATTGGAAAGTGTGTTGTTTGATAGTTTTTGAAATAAATCACCTTTTAAGTTTAAAAACTCTAGTGTTCTCTCACATACTAAATACATCCTCACTTGGCACATAAACCAATAAAATGAAGTACATCATCCAATAATGGAAATAAATGTTATAGACCTGAAATTAATTGATACAATAATTCGATAAAAAGGTGTAAAGACATATAGACCCAATTAACCTAGGGTCTAAACTTAACAAAACAAACTACGTCCTGACACTCACGGTGACGGATGTCCATCAGTACCTATACAATGCATGGGGTTGAGTATAGACACTCACCAGACAGTAATCTCATTTCTTACTAAGTAAACATGTTAGTGTCGTGATAAGTAAAATTATGCAATGAAATGCCCAATTTTTGGATTAACTTAATCTTATTAAGTCCATCTTACTTAATTAGTTCACACTAGAATAATTAAACAAAAGAAATAATTTGAAATCAATAACTGTCAAGAGGGCATCAATAACTTGCCAACATGGCAATAAACCTGGCTTCACTAACACGTACGATGTCTAAACTGTAAATAAGGACATAATAGGCCCTACCTTGATCACGTCCCAAACTCCTCTGAGTTGCATGCTAGAAAGAAACTCCATTCTTAACCACTAGAGGCTACTACTCTAAACTGCGCAGTGTTTGAGGTTCTAACCTGCAAATAGTTGGATCTACTATCTCCTCAAGCTTACTGGACCACAATACTAGCCATAAGTCTATAACTCGGGCCACACCCGTAAAATCAGTAATATTCAGACTCGCAAAAAAATAAAATAAAAAAAACTAAGGTTGCGTTTGGTAGAGTTTTGTAAATATGATTTGAGAATATGAGTTGTATTTTGAGTTTGTAAGTTTTGGAATTATAATTTGAGTGTAGAAAATTTGTTTGGTTATGAGTTTTAAAAAGAGTTTTGAAAAGAATTTTAGATTGAGTGGGAATTTTTGATGTGACATGTGATATTTGATACAAAAACTAACAACTCATAACCAAACACACAACTCAAAAATTCTATACAAAACTCATAAAAAAAAAAATTTAAAATTCAGAAAATATTTTTTATTTAATATATAAAACATAACGTGTGTCAATTCCCAAAAAAATAACAAAAAAATTTCACTGGTAGGGACGTCCTATGGGACATCGGGGGGGTCGACCGTGGGGGACATCCGGGTGACAGAGTTTTCAAAGCAAAGCGTGGAATTGATTTTTAAAAACCGTAAACAAACACGCATCTCAAAAATACACCTGAAATCACATTTCCAAAACACAACCAAACAGAGCCTAAGTGTAGTAAATATCAACATTGGTTATTTAATACTTAGTTGGATTTTCATACTTTAGAGTAATTTCCAAAAAATTGCTCATCTTTTGTCAACAATACTCTTCCTTGCCAATTTTACCAATTTGCCCATAGGGCTATAATAGTAATATACTCTAAGTTTGAAATGACCAATATGCCCCTAAGGCATAATTTGACCAAATTTTCCATAAGGGTATAATTACCAAAATGTCCTTAAGGCATTAATTAACGAAATGCCCTCAAGGCATGAGATTACCAATTTGTCCTTCATTAACCTCAAGTTAATTTCCTATGTGGCAATGTCAATCAAATAATCCAAAATATTCCCAAATGACTATTTTACCAATAAAGAGTCAAAATTACCTTTGTATCCTTATAAGTCCCAAATTCATTAAATAATCCAAATAGCTCATAAACACAATTGAAATAATAAAATGGGCAAATTTCACTTTGCACCCCCCCCTCTCCCCCTCGGCGGGCGGGTGGTTTGGGCCATGTGCAATTTATCCCTCTAATGTTTGGAAATGACCACATAACCCCCACGTGTGTGGATTGAAGTGTGCACTGTTAAACATTTCGTCCAACTTAACAACAAGTGTGAAACACGTGGCGGAGATAAAGGGGGTTATATGCTCATTTTCAAATTTCAAGGGGGTAAATCACACATGGTATAAAGTACAGGGGGTTAAAGTACATTTTGTCTTCCAAACAAATGACGAAAATACAGGGATATTTTAATCTTTTTCATTAAATCGTTAACAAACCTAACGGTGTACTTCAATTCACAAACCACAAGGAAGTTATGTGGTCAATTACAAACGTTAGGGGGTAAACCACACATGACTTAAACCATAGGGGGTAAAGTGAAGTTTGCCCTAATAAAATAGTCATGGAAACATATATTTTTAAGAAATTAGTAAACAAAACTAGTTTTAAAATTATAAGACAAATAGTAAATCAACACTAAGGCCCCGTTTAGAAACTTTGATTTTTAGCCAAAAATCCAAAAATACACTACAAGTTGTCACATCACTCTCTTTATTTTTCTGCACATCTTTTCGTAAAAAGTCAAAAAATAACTAAAATAACCAATTCTCAAATGGGGCCTAAATCACACCATCTTTTAGACTAACTCATGTTAACCCATGCCATGGTTAATCTAATTAAGTCATTTTCCCCAATTTCTTAACACTTTAAATAATTCTAAAAAATTCAAAGTTGTCCAAATCACATATTCTTTATACTATTAATCAGCAAACATGCCATAGATTACACTTTTTGAGTTTTGAACAAAAAGTCCTAAATTAATGAGATAATACTTTTCATGATTTCAAGATAGATATGACAATATTATATTCAAAGTTCATGAAATCACATAATAAGAACACTTTCAAAGATTTAAGGAAAAAATCCACCTCTAACTCAAAATGTCTCAAGAAGGCATTGATCAACCAAATAACTCATGGTTTGGAACAAATACACACTAATCATGCTTTCATAGATAAAATCATGCCGTAAATTTGAAATTAAACCCTAACATGCTTTCTAAGCAAGATATGAGAAAACTCCAACCTCAAACAAGCTTTAAATCAACTGACAATGGAGAGATGAGGTTGAGATGGGGTTAAGGCTTCAAGAACGCCAAAGTTCGATCTTCAATCCAAGCCAAAAGTACTCTCAAGCACTCATGCACTCTCTAATCTAAGTATATAGGCTCTCAAACACTTAATCTCTTACTACCTTGAACAAATCAAGATCAAACCAAGTTGTAAAGGTTCATTAATGGTGAATAATAAAGAACAAAGAGGAAGAAAGAGAAATGGGAGAGAGGGAACAGGTAGAGAGAGGAAAATGGGAGTGAAATTGATTTTTCTCCCTCTAAAATGGAAGAAAGATGACCTATAATCAATTAGGCATTAACTTTAATCAACCATTAATTAATATTCTAATCTAAGGGTCCAAAATCAATCTTCAAAAGCCAAAACAATCCTAACCATTCAGTTCAAGTAAATCATGATTATACACATATAGCCAAGCTTATATACATACAATCCTAGTTAGCACAACTATTAAAACAAACATTTCCTCTCTTGTGCTTGTGTAAGGAAGGTACCAACTTGTGTAAGAAATAGAAGTCCACAAAAGAGGTAAAGTAAGACCATATGTGAGGAGAGAGAGTGAGCTGATGTTGGGGCTCCTTTTGGACCCCCAAAATTATATATTTTGCATTGTTTAAGGATTTTAGGCTTCCCCCCAAAACCCTATCTTAAATATGTACTAGTGGTTGGCACACGTAATGAGTGTGCAATTCAAATAAGTAAAAATAAAAATAAAACTAAATGATAAAGAAATTAATATTATAGTATGTGTGTTGCTCAAGTAGTAAAAACTTTCTTTCTTAAATTCAAGGTCAAGGTTTCGAGTCTTGTGCATTTCTCTGTACAGCCTTTTTATTTTAAATAGAGAAATGAGGGACACGTAGCATAAGGAGAAGCAAGCAAAGGATTGGACACCAAGTCCAACCTAATAGTATAGATAGTTTCGGACATAGAAAATATACAACATTTTCTATACTAGAAATTTGTAAAATTCGCATGGTCAAGTAATGATAATAAAATACACACAAATAACATAAAAATAATAAATACGGGGTCTAGAGAATTCATCTCCTGAATCTCAAACCGGATCGGGTCCGTGTGTGCGCAAATCGATGCATTGGGATTCCCAATTCACCAAAATATCTCCAAATTAACCAATAACACTGTATAAGCATAAAAACATCTACTACCGGGTTTGGAGAAGTCCATTGCTTGGATCTCGTGCCAGTTCAGGCCCCAAGTGCATGCTAACCGAGATTGTCATTGCACTGTCTCTCTCAACAAGAAATTAAATTCTAATTTAACAGGATTGATTCTATGGTCATATTAACACACTCTGTCTATCCCTCGGGTCCCAGGTTGGCTCAAGAATCAATGCATGTAAATTGAGACAACCGATCATGTAGAAAAATTAATCGATGAAGGTTTAAACTAAAGTACCAGGACTCAACTAGGGACTTTATTATAATTATTCTAAGTTATCTGGGTCTCTAATACAACAATTAAAAGTTAAAATTTATCTGGTCATTACAACAACTCTAAGTTACTCTCTTGTCTTTTGTCTCACACTGTTCTCTATCCTTTCAACCTCTCTCAACATCTTCGACTTTATTTTTATTTCTACTCTCTAAATGTAACTTCTTAAAAGGTGAATAGCTGCAGAAATTTTGTTATGTTTTCCACGAAGTCAAGATATGTGCTACCCATCTGGGAGTCAATTATTTTCGTAATCTGACCCTTACTGGTTATTTCATCTTGTTTTACTCTTGATTTCTATTTGTATAGGACATAGAGTTGTTTAGACACATGATTGAATAAGGGATTCATATATTATGCCAGAGATAATTTCTTTCCACTGAGATGTTTCCCTTCTAGCTGACATGTTATTTTTCTCCATTTTGTTTATATTTCAGGTCATACGCTATTCCTCTCCCACATCTGCTGGTGCTGAATGCATTGATCCTGATTGTACTTGGGTGGAGCAATGGTAATGTCATGTATTAATTGACAAAATATTCATACGCTGATAATATAAGGAAACCTTCATATTTAATGCTTTCTAATAAACTCTATGGGATATTGTTAATATACTGAACCTAATGATCAATGATGGGGGTACCTCTCCAAAATCATTAGCTCTATCTTTTTCTCTCAATTTGATACTATTCATTTTAACTAATGAGAAGAAACAGTCACTGATACGAAAAGGAGAAATCGTCCTGAAATATAGTGTAATCTTCATATTGTCATATTAATCTACTGTCTGGTTTTTTTTTTTGATCGGCAAAAAAACACTTTATTGATGAATCCCATATACAAACATATGATAGAAAAACATCAATAAAGAGGAGCTTGGAGCTATAATGAGCTCCAACCTCCTAGTTGGTGAGAGACCAACACAAAACAAAGACAAACAACTGAAAAAGCACCCATCCGACACAAAAACAAACAAAACTGGATTGACAGCAGCACAACCACAAAGCTGAATCACCCTTTCAGATGTTACCAATTTCCAGGAGCAGAGCAAAACCAGAGCTTTCAGATGATTTCCAACCAGCAGCAAACCAAACCAATCCCCAAAATTGTTAAAACCAACACAGCAACATAACAAAGCAGAATAGATTCATCCCTACGAGCACCAACAGTCATACCAAACACATTCCCTTAAGCTACAGCAGGCCTTCAACCAATCCAAGCACCAAATCAAAACAGATTATATGTGACAGCACACAGTATGAGCAAGCTTGGATGTTGGATCACATAAGCTAGACAGATCAGTCACAACAGAATAACACATCAAAAACAGAACCCCTTCTAATTCAATTGCACCATAACAGAAACAACATTCAAAAACAGCAGTAGATAGTTTAAACCCTCAGTGCATGATGCAGAATTTCACATTTTGTAAATTAGACACCAAATCACCAACTGAATAACACAATGAAGGACTAGAAGCTCTGAACCACAATGCAATCCGTGTTTTGATAAGATCACACAGCTTTTCGAAGTCCAACTGTGCCTTCTTAAAAATAATATCATTCCTCTGCTTCCATAAAGACCAAAGCACTGCCAATGGGATTGACTTCCAAATTACCTTCAATCTTTTAGTGCATGTAACCCCAATCCACCATTGAAGAAGACCCACTACTGACCCCGGCTGCACCCAAGATACACCCCACCATCCAAGAATATTAGACCAAACTCTCCAACTGAACATACAGCACAGCAGCACATGGGACGCAGTTTCCCTTTCCTTCATGCAGAAAACACAGTTAACATCCGAGTTGGCACTAAGGATCCCAATACTTTGCAAAAAGGTAGAAGTCTTGATCCTCCCTTTCCATGCTAGCCAAGCAAAAAATTGCACTTTCGGAGGTGCAGCATTCTTCCAGATGAGATCCACCACTTTTGTAGGCAGATTAGATGGTAATTCACTCCACTTGTAGACAGACGATACAGTAAAGATACCCGATCTGTCAGCAGCCCAAGACAACCCATCTAGCACACCATTCCTGAGCTCTGGAGCAGTTTGTAGTAACTCCTTCATCCTCCTCAACTCTTCAAGTTCCCATTGAAACAATGCTCTTCTGAAAGACAAATCCCACTCCCCATCTCCATTGCTTTCGCAGGTAATCACTGCCACTGATAGACCTTTATGCATAGACAAAGAGTATAATCTAGGAAATAAATTCTTTAGACAGTCAGTACCAACCCATTGATCCAGCCAAAAGCTTATGAGCCTCCCATCCCCAATATTAGTCTTTGAGTTAGCCTTAAATGACTCCAGCAACTCTGGACACTTAATAGCAACCCTCAAAATGTCCCTCCACACCATAGAATATCTGGAAATTGCATCTTGATCTGGCCACCTAGCACCACCAGTCTGTGGGTACTTACTAAGAATCACTTGTTTCCAAATAGAATCAAATTCACTCCCAAACCTCCACCACCATTTGAGAAGAAGGCATTCATTCATGATTCTCACCTTTTTAACACCTAGACCCCCGTTACTTTTGCTTAGAGTAATTTCCTCCCACTTTACCATGTGAATTTTCCTTCTAAGTTCATCGCCCCCCCAGAGAAATCTGGACTGAATTCTATCAATCTCTTTGGCTACCCTTCAGGCATTCTAAATAAAGATAAGTAATACACTGGTAGTGAAGCCAGCACAGACTTGATCATTGTTAATATACTGAACCTGATGATCAATGATGGGGGTACCTCTCCAAAATCATAAGCTCTATCTTTTTCTTTCAATTTGATACTATTCATTTTAACTAATGAGAAGAAACAGTCACTGATATGAAAAGGAGAAATCGTCCTGAAATATAGTGTAATCTTCATATAGTCATATTAATCTACTGTCACTGATGTTTTGTTATTCCATCTATATACTTGTATATGGCTGACATAATATTAGATTCTATATGATAAACACAATGTTATTAATAGAATTGCACTGATAACTTTCCAGGGTTCACCGTGCTGGTCCTCGGGAGAGAATATACTTCAAACCAGAAGAAGTAAAAGCAGCAATTGTGACTTGCGGTGGACTTTGCCCTGGTCTTAATGATGTCATCAGACAGGTCATATTATATGGATGTCTCTTTTGCTTAAAAGTTCTATCCACATCATACCTGAGTTGTCTTTTAAGAGAGTCATCATATTCAACATCCAATACTCTGTGGAACCATTGTAGCATTGCAATTGAATTTTTAACTATTTATTTGTGAAATGCACTCTTTAGCTTGCACAGATGTATTGCTTGGTAAGGCTTTTCTGTTGGATTGGTGTCCAACTTTCCCATGATGTGTAGTAGATAATTTGCAACTCTAAAGGACTCCTTTCTGAACTTAGTGTTAATGTAGGAATTCTGTTTCTTTACTTGCAGATTGTCATCTTTTATTTTTGTTTGGTAATGGGTGCAGATTGTCATCACTCTAGAAATATATGGTGTGAAAAAGATTGTTGGGATTCCTTTTGGTTACCGTGGATTTTCCGAGGAAGGCTTAAGTGAAATGCTTGTGAGTTCTTATTTCTATCCTTGAAACTACTCGCCTGTATGAGTTGAATTAATTGTTGCTACACACTCAAGATATTCTGTTGTGACATTTCTTCTTAACGGACTATTGAGTGCGATGGTCTGTTTCCATAAATATTTTATTCCTGTAGCTAGCTCGCCTGATATATAATTTACTTGGAAGGATTTTCCACAAATATAATGTCCTAATTTTTAGCTGGCTTAACAGATGGTCTGGTGTTGCTTAAACTGCCTTAACTTATGGTTTGAAAGGACCATTAACTAGAATGTTGCCTTAGTAGCCAATAAGTAGCTACACTGTTATATGGTTTCTTTGGTAAGATGAAATGTTACCTTGGTGTCAATACTGATTTGTCCGAGCTCTTGGTATTGGAATAAGTTCGGCAGCAGATCACGAAATCTTGGTGATCTTCTCTATCTAATGAATGGGGAGTTTTCTTTAAAACCGTCTACCCTGCACCCACCCCGAGTATATGCTTCAATAGGAATCACACAATGGTAGATTAGAAACCTCTGGTAAAATGTCTACTCATAACCCAGCATATAAAGTACATTACATAGTCCATTTTAGGGATTGGCGACTTGCCCATGCAGTGACTTTGGCATTGGACGTTCCCCAAATGGGTACTTTTGGGTGGGGTGAATTCAGTAATAGACGCCTGTTGGCATTCCAGCCTTCTCCTTTCAGAGCCTATCCAAAAGAGAATCCGATACTTCTTGGTCGTGAATATCTGAATTGGTTGTTTGCTGTTCAAGAATTCTTGTTTAGGCAATTCATACCATCCATACGTAGTGTTTTGATCTAAGATTTCAATTCTTCCATGTTTCAGCAGTATCGTATTGTTCCATGGAGCTAAGATCCGAAATATGGAAGAAAGAAGAAACCAATCCTTCCCCTCCCAAACACATTAATGTGTACCGATTGGGCATTGTTTTATTTGTTTTGCGTCTGTGTTTACTTGCCAATTGCTTGTGGCTCTGGTTTATGCCTTTCTCTTGCTAGTTGCCAACCAAATCGGCACTAAAATTTGGCTCCAGTTGATAGTAATTGGTTATAAAATAATCTCACACTTTGATTGGTTGGATCTTGTGAAATAATATCAAACTTTTGATGGATCTTTAAAAGTTAACCATATGGATTTGGGACAAGGCTTGTTGATTCTAGCTACACTCATGTTTTTGCTTTTAAGATATGAATGTCTCTTCTTTTGTGAGTATGTGCTGAAAATTTGAGCAATTTCTTAAACATGTCCTTGATTGTAGCTATCCAGGAAAGTGGTTCAAAATGTCCATCTTTCTGGTGGAAGCTTGTTAGGAGTCTCGCGTGGAGGACCCAATGCTAGTGACATTGTGGATAGTATGGAGGTGCGTGCTATGTTCATATCTTTTCACTAGCAAATATTTCCCTAGTTTTCTCTGCTGTTTTTGTAGAAAATGCAAATGGAGTTTACGAATAATTGTCACTTATATGTGCATGTGCCAATCCATGTCAGGCAAGAGGAATCAACATGCTTTTTGTGTTGGGTGGAAATGGAACCCATGCCGGTGCCAATGCAATACACAATGAGGTCGGTGGGCCTGTAACATTTTACACATGGGCACTTTATGTTATATTCTCTAGTGTGCTTTAAATGTTGTCTATACATATCATTGCTTTTTTCTTTTTCCTTTTTTTAAACTCAGCTTCCATAGGGCATGTTTGTTCAAGTTTAATTTAATACTTCTCAATTTTAAGCTTTGCATGGCATGTATTTTTCTACAAACTTTTGGGACGGACATGAAAATTGTTAATTAACTTAATAATTTATTAATAAAATGACCTATTTGTTATGAAATTAGAAATCTTAGGGTGCATAATGTAATTTCTAGAACTACATGAAATAATTTATAATTTAAGTAAATCTCAGAGGGTGTGTTTGTAATTTACCCTAATTAGTTCTATTATTTTATTGTTACATTTTATATATATGGTCTTTTTTTCAAGGTGAACTTACAATAAAACAGAGGGAAGTAATTAGAATTTGCAAATGAAACGAAATTTTGAAAATTAATTATAAAGATGTAAAAATAAAAAAAATTTAAGACAAAATTATCCGTCACCCCTCTCCGCTATTCTTTATCCATATTCTATCCTCCTCACCATCGCTAAGTTATCTATCAACTCTCTTGCCATCTTTATTTTGATTTTTATTTTTTTAAATTTTTTTTCTTACTTGTGGATCCTTTGAGGGGACACTAGATCATTTTTTGTTTGCCCCTGGGGAAAGAAATGATTTTACATGTTGGCTACAATGAAATGATGCTTTTAGCTGCCATTGGAGTACATTTATTGCATTAGTTCTGAATATTCATAACTCATTGTCAGGCTTACTTTTTCCCTTCAAACCATTGCTTTTTTTCCAGTGGATAGCTGCCCTAGTGTTCAGAACAATGCTTCTATCATTTTATCGCATTGTAGATGGTTTCCCAGCAAGGATCAATGTTGTTTGCTTTTTTAATTTAAGTGCACCCAAGCTAGATAGTGTTGTACAACATTTTTCCTTGTTTATGCTTTGGAATCTGTCAAAATTCTTTGTACCATACTTATTGGTTAGGAGTTGGTAGCTTTTCTTTTGGAGTTTTGTATTTTTTTGCATCATCTTGATGCTCTTTCAATAAAATTTGTTTATTTATCCAAAAAAAAATTTCTTTGTACCATACTTTGTGGAAAATTTGTCTTGATGCTTATCTTCTGTCCCAGAATGTTTCTCGTTAAAATTAGATATGCAGTTATTCTTCTTACATTTTCTTGGTAGTTTCTGAAATTTTGGTTATTCATTTCATGTATTTTTTCATCATCTTGGCCTCAAATTTGATTTTCCTGTGTCTTGCATGTCTTACATATCTAGAAAGCAGAACCTCTTACCTTGACTCCAAAGTCACATGTAAAATTTTTTATTTATTTTTCTTTATTCTGCCTATTCCTTCTCTTTTTACAGGATATGTTTAAAGGTTAAAAATCCGGTTTATGGTACCACCATCATTTGCAACACCATTTTTTTTTTTTAATACAAATTTTGCAGGATGGAAATTTGTATGTTGAAGTTTTAGTCACTTCCATTGTGATATTTACCCTGTTAAAAGGAATTTTCAATTTCCTTTCTTACGTTTTCCACTCTACCAAGCTTCCATTCATAATTTTATATTGCTGCCTCATTCCCTCATTAGAACCTAATAATGTAACCTTGTTAAATGTATGAAAGCTCTTTCTTCTTGCCAGCATTGCACTTGATATTTCCATCTATGTATTTGTCTTTTTCCTGTTTAATACAAGATTTGGCAAGTTAGACCTACAGTTACTGAAATGAGATGGTGTGCATATTATGTTATATTGATAAGGTAGGGTGCGTGCATACAGGTCTTTGTTTTCTTTTTTCTTTTTTTCCTGCAAATGAATTAAGTTTCAGAAGTAGAGAGCTGGCCCTTAAATTTTGCCCAACATAATTCTTTTTCTTTTTTTGGACTGGCAGCTCAGGAATTGTAAGATCTATGTTAAATTTTTTCAGCATTTCATTTTTTGTAACATGATGCATTCAAATCTACTGTTAATTTATTTGTTTACTGAAAGTAAAAAAGTTCAACTTTATGTTTGAAATGTAAATTTGATGTTACGTTGTATCAAGAATTTCATGAATAAATGAGAGAACTAACTCTAGTTTGGAACTTTATATTATTCTCTTTCATGCAGGATTTCCTCCAGAAAACTAATGCCAAAGATGCTTCTGGAAATATTGTATTTGGAGATATTGGTGTACATTTACAACACGAGGTTAGTGGTTGCATTTACCATTTGACCAAGTTTTTCATTTATTTTTGCTTCCTCTATAGACATGTTCTCTAACATAACATTTATTTATTTTTCTTCTACATCTTATTTTGAGCATCATTTATCTGTTCCTTTCAATACATAATTATATTTTATGGTCTAGTTCATGTAGGTCTCATTGCTAATGTTGAAGTACATGGATTAGTAATAGATGAGTTTAAGATTTCTAACTTAATTTCTACATTAACTGTGTACCAAAGTGCACAGATTTTTGTGCTGCTTCCATCACTACCTTTTGTTTTGTCTGATCAAACAAATCTTCTATGTGGTGGTGCTCGAGTTCAGGTTTCCACTTACATAATTCTAAAAAAGCTCCTATGGCTACGAGTTTATTTAGCATATTTGAACCGCTTTTTAATTTAATTTATTTTTTTGGGGAAGTCTAATGTGGTTTCTGATATTCTGATGAAAGCATCTCAAATTTATTGTGAACAGCAGCACTTCTCGAGTAATTTGCTTCATAATTCTGGGTTATTTGTTTAAGTCAACCCTAGATTTCGGTCTATCTACTATGTTACTGATATTATTTACTTATTTTATGTCAGACGAAGAAATACTTTAAGGAGATTGGTATTCCAGCTGATGTGAAGTACATTGATCCCACATATATGATCCGAGCAGTCCGTGCAAATGCATCAGATGGAATTCTTTGTACTGTACTGGGTCAAAATGCGGTGAGTTTCTCATGCTCACTTTTTCATGACATCTATGAGAGTGACGATCCTCTAGTGTGATTTTTCCTAGAGTGATAGAGTGATTTTTTGGATGGCTAAGATTGATTTCTACAAAAGTGGAGGGGATAATAATTATTTCACCTTCCAACTGTCAAAGCCTAATCTTATCACTCTAGGATCACACTAGGAAAAATCATTCTAGAGGATCCGGACTCCATCTAAGAAGCGCCAACACTTCTAAGAGGGTAACATGTCGTATCTAACACCGGCACACCACTCGTTGGACACTTCTCAACACTTAGATATTCATCAAATACATAACAAGTTTAAATAAAATAGCTTGTCATCCAATGATAAAACAAAAAATAATATAAATTTTACCTATTCTCATACTTTAGACTTTAAAAATTATTATAGTAGACTTAAATATTCATATATATGAGATATAATAATTATTATTTATCCTATATATGATATAAAAAATATATAATATTATATATTTTGCATATCCCCCAATTGTCATGTCCTACTTTTTTTAAAAAAATTTATTTCTCGACGTGTCAGTGTCCATGCTTCTTAGCATCACCTATTGAGAAAAAGAAATAAATACATCTCATTTGGTTCCTAAATATGGTGCAGTAGACTGGTGAGGATTTCAGAAGTCTGAATCCCTTATAGGAGAAAACCTTGGTCAAAACTAACCTAAATTTCTGTCTCAGCATGTCAGTGTCCATGCTTCTTCCCTCTTTCAGCATAAAAACAAAGGAAATAAGGAAGATAGCAACGCAGTAAGTAGACATTATCAGTCTACTAACTCTGCTGTCAAGCAAAACTATATTTTGTTGGGATAGGTTCGGACAGCGTTTGTCAAATCCATCTTAAATCACTGTGCATTTCCCATTGATGTTGGTGGTACTGCATTTCTTTTTCTCTGCATAAGGTATTGCAGTGTGTAACTATCTATGTTACATGGACTCTCTTCTAAATGTACTTGCGTCAGACACTCAACACTTGGATAGGGATATGACCGTATGAGATATGTGTCCAACAAGTCTAGTGGCACATTCACCCATCAAATATGTCTAGTAATTCGAGTTTAGCATATATACATAAAGCTTTCATATTTTGCATGAAATGCTCTATTACCTTGTATACACGATTTGCCCTAGAAAATTAGCAATATGAATATTTTATCGTGACTTGTGTTTGTGAACATGTGAGATGAATCTGATGAGTAGACATGTATCCACATCTGAAACTCATACTTGAGTCCATGTAACATAGGAAACCATGATACTTTGGTTGTAGTTACTTTTATCACAACCTGAAGAAGCATACTACAAATAGAAATCAAATGTCATCACATGTTCCAGAAATCAATTGAAATTTTCCTTTCCTTGCTCGTAGCCATAGGAAATACAAAACCCATTTAATCTTTTTATCCGGTTGACAATTTCTCAATTTTTTTTCTTCTAACTGGTGCACCTTGTCCTTTTTGAAGTCCTAACTTAACCTATTGGTTACTAGGTATATTTTTCTTAGCCTTACCAAACCCAAGAAGAAATGCAAGGGTTAAGGCCAGCTAAGTGGGTGATCTACAGCATAGCTCCTCTTAATTAGGTTTGCTAACAGGTTGGGCTCATTAGCAGGCTTACATAACAATTGTAAGAAGAAAATTATCAGTTTCTTTTTTGCTTATGAACAGCCTTGAACTTGCCTCGTTCAAGTGGCTGAGCCTAGCAGAGCTCTGATTTGGCCAAACTCTAACATCCAAACTCAAACATAGCTGGTCAAACTTGGTTTTGTTTCAGTCTTAATTTGACTGACCTTATCTCAAGCCACAATACAGGGATCTGTTTATTTCTGACTAGCTCAAATAGGTCCTTTCATCAACAAGTTTTTTGTTTACTACGCGGACTAATTTTCTGCCTTTTCTTTTCATTTTTAGTATATCTGTAATTAGAATCAATAGTTAATAAATAAAGTAGAGAAATTAATTATAATCAGTCAGGCACAAATTTATACAAATGTGCCAGCAAGTAACATTTATTCCATACGGATGTTTGGTCTTGGCAGGTTCATGGTGCATTTGCTGGATATAGCGGCATAACGGTGGGCATATGCAACACACATTATGTCTATCTTCCCATTCCTGAAGTCATTTCTTACCCCAGGGTTGTGGACCCTAATAGCCGCATGTGGCATCGTTGCTTGACATCAACCAGACAACCAGACTTCATCTAATTGAGGCATTCTATTTTATATAATATACCACTATAGGTTTGAGAAATCTAAGTTTTATTAATGTGTAGATTAGAGAACAGAAGGCCAGCTTCGAAAGGTTTTTGGTTAAGTCTGTTCATGGCTTGTTGAAATAATACCAAGGATGACATTTCCTCCAAATTCGGAAATTCTTCTGTGTAGCATTACGGTGCCAGTTCTCACAGGACAAACTGATAATAAAAATTTCTTTGGAACCACCCAAAGCGGTTTGTAATTGGTTCCTTGTCTTCTATACGACATGTTTTTATCTGAGAAATTCATTTTGCAAGATTAAGCAGCATCATCGACCAACCAGAAATGTAATATTTAGCTATGCGGTTTACAAAGAGATGGTCATATTTTTTAGTGTCTAAATAAAATTTCAAGCTCTTATTGATGTGCAGGACTGGTTCTATTTTTGCAAGAGGGAATAAATGGTAGCAGAAATAGCAGATTTGGTGCTCTGTCACTGAAACATAGCCATCATTAGAGGTGTGGTTGCTTTAGTCTCATCATCTTGTATTATTAGCTCCTTCCTTCTAATGGTAGAAACTGGTAGTGTTGTGAATATAGCAACTGATTCCCATCCATCGTGAAATAAGGCCCATGAGACATGATAATTGTGCTCATATCAGGTATTTATTGTCCAGTCCTCCGTATCCAAAATCCTTGTTCCCTTAAACACAAAAGAACTCCCAACTCATGATATGCTAGTAATTTCGAAAGAATGGAATTTTGAGGCACAATCATGTGGTTGGGTAGTGTGTTGAGTATAGGAGATTTCTCTCACCTAAAGGGCCGCAACACTAGGGCTGCAAACAAGTTGAGCCGAGTTGAGTTTTAGTGTGTTTGGACTTATGTATTAAAATTTTAACGAGTTCAAGTTCGAGAGCTCGAGCTGAATAAAAATTTAACGAACTGAGCTTGAGCTAACTTGGCTTAGGCTTGACTCAAGCTCGAGCCTGTTCACGAGCATTAACAAGTCAAAAATTTTATAAATTTATTCTTGCGTATGAGACTAAAGTTATAATTAAAATTTTAATTATACAATTATATATACGATATATATAAACATACTTTAAAAAAATCAATATTTTATCAAAATAATAATATCTATAACAACTATTATATAAATGCGCTATCTATAGTTAACTATTATTTACATTTATATTTTTTAAATATATAAATAGCATTTATTTTATTTTTTATACATATTTTTACATTATTTAATATATAAATAATAAATGTTAAACGCTAGTTAATGAGCTGAACTTGAGGATGTTTAGGCTTATTTATTAAAAATTTAATGAGTTCAAGCTCGAACTTAAACGCAAAAAAAATTAACGAATCGAGTTCGAACGAGTTCTTACCAAGTCGAACTTGAGTCTGTGCACAAACAACTCTGTTCATTTGCAACTCTACCCCCAACACTTGCAGCTCCCCTTTCCCCTTGTGGAACTAGTTCTCCTTAAGGGAAAAGGTAGGATTTTTCCATTGAGGGGGCCAAGAGCATGTTTGTAAAAGAAAAGAGTAGAACTAATAACACAAGCTATATTTGGTATACCAAATAAAAAATAACGGTTGTTTGGTGTTGTTTTTAGGCCAAGTTTAGCATGATTGAAAAAAAATAAAAAGTCAAAAAGTCACTATTCTATTTAAGTCACATCAACTTATTTAAGTCACATCACCTCTCTAACACATCACTTCAAACCCAATCCAAACCCAAACCATATTTCACAAAAAGTCAAAAAGTGCACTTATTTAGTCTTTCCAAACTAGGCCTTAATTCTTTTTGTCTTTAGTGATTTTTTTTTCATATTTCTTCATATATATTTTAGTTTTTAGGTGCATCTAAACAGTAAAAAATATTGACTAAAATATGAAGAAAAAAAATTCTCTCAAAACAAAAAAACATGAAAAACAAAAAAAAAACTAACAATTTTTGAATTTGAAAATCATACCGGATGTATTTCTAAAAACAATGGAATAAACTAAATTTATAATTATAAAGATAAAGATATGAAGAAAGAACGTGAAAAAAGAAAGGAAAATAATCTCTGAGAAAAAGGAATGAAAGAAACAAAAGGAATAGATTGGCGCATGTTGCCAAGCTGCCTTCTTAGAAATTGGGGGCCATTATCTAATAAAAAAGACTTTGAGCCTTGATGTGCACTGACACAGTAAAGGGCTTCTTAATGTTAGGGGTGGCGACGACACCTGTTGGCCCTGGTGTGGCTTCGTCTCTATTCTCCTTAATGCCCATGCCCCCTCCATCCGCTCCTTCAATTCCTTCTTCAATACTTACCTCGTTTCGATATTTGGACGACCATCTTCTTCCATTCATGTTCACCACCAGAGTTCTGCATCCCTAGAGAGATACATGCTCGTGATCGTAACTTTCTTTCCTTCAGCAATGAGTAGCCTTGAAATACTGCTCCACATCTCACAGAAATCAAGTTCCTTGGCACTTTGACTCCCACCAAATAACTTAGGATCAGGAACCTTGATTTTCCAAAGAGTCTCGTCATTGTTTGAATGCCCAGAAACTACCTTCTTTACAATGGACAGTTCGTCCTCCACTTCATGTTATTTGGCCTTCAATGCATCGGATATGGAAAGCATGTTGTCCATCACCACCTTGAACCGATTTGCTGTCTCAGTGTGAAGGCCAAGAAAGCCATTAGCCACAGCATCCAATCGATCCGTTAATGTTTGACTTGCATTAGTGCGAGTACCCACCAGGTTTTCCAACCTTGTTACGCATTCCTTTACTGCTTCCAAACCAGTAACCATTTTGAGCGAGATTGTGCTTTGATTCCAGTTGTCACGAGGTTATTTTCTCCACTCAAAAATACATGATGGTACTAAGTGTAGTCTCAACCAAATCACACACAGATGAGGTTTGTCAAAGTAAAAGAACCAACATAACAACTTACCGAAAAAATTCCCAACCTTACATTGCACCAACAATTACAAAGAAGCCAAGGAACACTGTTACAACCAATATTTTAAAAAGTGACCGCAACTGTTATGTAACGGTTGTGGTGGTTACCGTTATCTGTTATGGTCACTTTTGCAGTGTGATTGAGATTCACATGTGTGTTTGAGATTCACAGATGTGTTGGCCGTAGCGGCTACCGTAGTAGTCATAACGGTACTATAACGGCCGTAATGACCTATTACGTACTGTGGTTCTGAACTGCTTCTTTCGAAGAAAAAAAAAACTGAAAATGGGGGAAGAGGATAGAGAGAGAAGAGAGAAGAGGGAAGATAGAGGAGTAAGAGATAGAGAGAGAAGAGGGAAGATAAATAACATGTTATTGATTTGTTGAAACTGTAAAACTTATACTATTCTATTCAGCTGCTATATATTGTTTGAAAAAATAATAATAATAATAATTAGCTTGTTTGGTTCTAATTTTCAGAAAATAGTTTTTAGAAAATTCTACTTTTTTATTTTTCGTATTTTAATGTTTTCAATGAATTTTTTAATATTTTAAGTAATTTTTTTTTATTTTTAGACACACCTAACATAAATACACTTAAAAAGTATAATATTTGTGAAAAAAATCTTTAAAAAATACACTAAATATCAAAAAATACAAAAAACAAATATATAAAAATTCAGTACATTTTTCGTATTTTTGTGTATTTATTAATTTTTTAAAATATTTTGTCATAAATATTTTACTATTTAGATACATCTAAGTAAGATGCATCTAAAAAAATAAAAAAAAAATTCTTAAAATTTTAAAAATATTCATTAAAAATAAAACAAATACGAAAAACAAAATACTCAATTTTTAAAAAATTAAATTCATAAAACTAAAACCAAACACACTGAATAATAATAATAATAATAATAATAATAATAATAATAATAATAATAATAATAATAATAATAATAATAAGTGTGGTAATAATAATAATAATAATAATAATAATAATAATAATAATAATAATAATAATAATAATAATAATAATAATAATAATAATAATAATAATAATAATAATAATTTGAGAGGGAGATTAATGATATGGAATTGGGCCGGACAGAGTTGTGCTAGACAGATTTGGGCCGAACAGGTGTTGGGCCAAGTTGTGTGGCCTGGCCTTGAAGGAAGCTGCTCGGTTAAGGCAGCGCGTGGATTTACTAAGCTGCAAGGATCCGTGGTTACGAAGCTGGTCAGGTGAAAAGTCCAGCGCCGGGAAAGGCAAGGTTGGACCAAGGTACCTGTTTGCTCGGCAGGTAGGTCGACCGCAGACAAGCATGAGTTGTCCCGAGCTCGGCTTTGCCGAGATGCCGCCGAGTCCGGTCCTCATCTGAGCTTAGTTGTTGGAGTACTTGGGCATGAAGCGCAGCATGGCAGACGATGGCCGAGATGGTACTGCCCGGCTGCCGAGCTCCCAGGAGAATGGGCAGGTAGTTGGGTAGGTGGTGCTTAACAAGGTTTATGCTGACAGATGGGATAGCAGTGCCACGTGTTGAGAGGTCACTGGGAGTAGATTTGGGGCGTAGAAGGTATATAAGCACGTTTGCGCCCCCCATACGTGGACAGATGAACATTTGGTGAGACATACCCTAAACACTCAACATTCTCCCTTCTCTCTATCTATCCCGTGTGTGTGTTCTAACTTGATCGTCGGAGGGGTTTTTCGGCCACACACTGCGGGGTAGCTCACCGCCGTTGTGTACGCAGGTAATCGGACAGAGACGGAGCTCGGAAGAAAGGAGTACGGGCTTGCCGGAATATTTGCTCCCCGTATAATTGGCGCCGTCTGTGGGAACTTTGAAAGACAAAACCTTGTCTTCCAGGCTCATCTGATCGCCATCCATGGCGAACAACGACGAGATTCCGTTGTCTGCCATCGACGGAGTTACGCCGGAGTCAGGCAAACGGAGAGAAGGACATCCCGCCATTCCTCCTATGGCGGACCTGGAAACGTCTCCAGGAGGACATTCAAGAGATGCGTGGGATAAGCGCGGAAGAAGCTTTAGACATTCACGGAGTCTAGACGGTCACCGGCGGCGGAGAGAATCGCACGCCAGGCGACTGGAACACAAGGCAAGGAACCAAGACGCCGTCATCCGGAGAATGGCAGCGGAGATGGAGGATCTTAAGCGACATGTCAAAGGAAAGGGTGTAGCTAGAGTGGGAGACCACATTGAGCGCACCCAACCCCGCCGCTCATGCAGTCAGAGCCAGCAGCGTACTCCGTCCATCTTAATCACTAGAAGTTACAAGGTTGGAGATTCCGACGCGCGCGTAGAGAAGTCCAGCGCGCAAG